CCTCATAACTAATCAGAGATAGAATCCTATGCTTTATAACTCAATGGTACCCACTGTCAGTGGGAGCAGGCTGCTTTGGAGATACCCAAACGACACAGGGCTCCAGCAGGTAAACGCTTTCCTTTGCTGGTGCCAGTCACATGTGAATCACATTAAAAATATGACAGAGCCTTGCGAGTCACTGTGGGCACTGACTAGGAAATCACCGTCAATTGACTTTAAGTGGCAACAGCTGTGATTAGACTATTTTTAGCCACAGGACTCACCCAGGTTTCAAAACCTGCTAATAAGCGCTCTACTGTAGCCAGCAAGGAAAAAGCCTTTCATTTTATTTGACACCAAGAATATGCTTAGCTAGGAGCAGGCTTGGAAAGCAAAATCGGAGGCAGAGCACATTTTCCACTGCAAATTTTGTTTTCATGCTGAATTATAACTGTATTGAAAGGTGGGGTTTTCTCAGCATCCCAATAGATTCTCTGGGTCAGGAAGCTGAAAGAACACTCGAGGTGCGGTGGGGACACGGCTCAGCGGTCAGCGCAGGGGAAGGGGGCTCAGGCACAGAGCCTCTCTCGGGCTTTCTCTCGTCTCTTTTTTTCTTCTCTCTGTCCTAAGTGGACTCCTCACGTGGGGGAAGGCATCTTACCAGTAACGACACACAGGTTGTATAACTAAATGACCTCATTCTAATGTGACGGCTAGCAGGGCAATGACAAGGCCTTGCCTTGGAAGGAGAGGGTCCCTGATTAAGAGAGAGCCACTCCCTGGCTAGCCCCACTTTCTGACCCAACAGTAACCAAGGGTGACAACCACCGAAAAGCACCTACCGGCCTACAGGGACACATACCTTTTAGAGATCAAATACAAACTCATTTAGTTAACATATGTTTTACTGCTTCTTGCTTACTATATATGCATTTTGAGCAAAACACGTCATCTCAACGATAAAGAGAATCTACTATTAGATAGTAAGTTCACATTTCGATGTATTTTCTATGAGAAGTTGTTAGCACCATGAGCACATACCATGCAAGTTAACCAACGCTGGGGATTGGATCACCGCATCCTGAAAGGTTATAACACTGGCAGGCCTCTGTCCCTAAAGGGAAGCCTGGGAAACCAATATGGGTGGGGGGCTTGGGGGGTGGGTACTGGGATACAGTTTCAAAAAAAAGTGGGAAGAGGCTTTCCAGAGCAGAGGGGAATGCAGAAGGAAGGAGGTGATTGGTGTATTTCCATTCTCCCCGGGGAGAAAAGTCTCCTCAGACAAACATGACAGAGTCTGGAGTACACAGTAAAAGGCAGTCCGTCTTTACTGTAGTGAGTGCAGGAAACAAAGAGTTTACAACAACCGCTAGCATTTTCTTAATCATTTGATAAAAAGTTCACTATAATATTTATTGTATAATGAAGAAAAAACAACACATTCAGGGAAAAATTGAGATTAACTTATTTTTCTTAAAAGGTTCATCTCAAGGATGGCAACAAAGTCCAGCTTGTGCCGCCAAACGGTTTTTACATGATCAAACCGTGTACAGCTTCTTGTGTGAACTGTTGACTACAAACATTTACCAAATACATAAATCTCTTTTTAAAAAAGCCATTTTAAATATAGCAAAGCAGTGTCTTCTTGCACAGCCAAGTGAAGAAAGGTTCTACAGAGAAATAAAAGTTTTACATTTGTAAAATCTTTTTCACATTCTAATCATCTAGCTTCTCATGACCGGATGCCAGGAGTTTCCAGGTTCCGTATTTACTATGTATTTCTTGTGCGCGTGATGGTTAAAACAGAAAGGATGTTAATGAGTTATTATTAGTTGTCCTTATAATGAAAGGAAATGGGAAAACATGTATTGTTCTTTTAGAACAAACCCCTGCTTTCGTCTCTAACACAATGGACATAATTAGGGCTCAAAAGATGGAGTTTGGTTAGATCATTATATACATACGATGGTGACTTTTCACTCTTAGTGTGACACCAGTCAGAGTGCTGAAGGGAAGTACAGCTGTTGGAAGCTATACTTTAATCAGTGCAATTTAGTCTACACTTTTTTGCTTTGTTTTTCAGTAATAAAATACTTCATCTGAAGGGGTAACATTTTCTTGGCAATGGTGTCTTATACAAAACACGTGAATCTAAAAGGGTAAGAAAAGTAGCTTCTAAGGTGACACCATTAGTGTGTCCCCCACTCTAAATTGGTTTCCACCAAGAGATGTCTATGTGTATGTGTTTGTACATGGGTGTCTGATGAAGTATGTCTCTCTCAAGTCCACATGCTCCAAATTACATTGGGCATATGAGGAAAAGGTTAACAGTCAAATATTCAGTTCCTGAAAACGGAATAAATTGTTACTTGGCCAGTAAAATTTAAGTATAAACTCCGAGCCTTATGTAATATTATTTTAGAAAACTGTAGTTGTACTGATTATAAACCTGCATAGAAAGAAAGACTATTGAGATACAGTCAGAAAAGCCATCTCATAAGGCACACAAGAAAATAGACAGTAAATGTGAATGTGTTAACTCCTATTCCAATGTACAGCAGAAGTTCATGAACATGCATAAATAATAACAAAAGGATCACTTAACACTTTCAAAGCTATAAATGGTTTACAAAGTGGTAAGGATTATCTTGGAAATTCAGTGTTGGGAGACTGTTTCAATTAGGTATGACTTTATAAAGAAATATGCCTGTGAATAGTTCCGTAAAATACATACATTTTAAAGGAAAACCAACCCTTTCTGATTAAGAGCCAAATATCTACACTGAAGAGAGGACGCAGCACATTGCACTCTCTTTCTTGGCCTCTATCCAAATTTACTACCCAGATGTCCATGAAGATAGAACCGCCATGATGTAGCCTGTGACTGACAAAGCTGTATCCTGTATCGGTCAAGAAATGTTTGAAATGTTTGTCAAGATGGTTTGTCACAAACAGCATCGAAGGAAACTGCCAGAAGGAATTCATTTGGGGGAGTGGGGGTGGGCGGAGAGCAAACTGTAAGTACAAATGGTAGGTAGCTGTGTAATATTATTTAAAATATAAAATAGAAAGTTTTAAACCCCTATTTTGAGTTTCTCAGGAAAAGGAGTTTTTAAAAGCTATAATAAAAGCCAACAGGGCTCTGGATTTTTGTTCATGGCACCAGCCCAATAAACTAAGGAACTTCCTGTAGGAAAAAGGCTCCACTAATTTAAATCAGGAAGGCAAGACCCATGACAAGGATCCACACCAGAAGAGAATTTCTGCCCCCACACCCAAGTGTCATTTCAACATAGTCATTTACAACGCTAGCATACTGTAACCGGCTGCTGCATCATTTTAATTTTTGAGGGTCAAGGGGAAAAAAATTACTTCCCTCATGAATGCTTTCTTAATCATTTACCACTTATAAAACCTTTGTGCTCATCTAATATTTTGTCATTTTCTCTAATACTAATTAGGTCAGCTTTTCCTACTATATTTTTCCCTCACAAAAGGCAAAATCTTAATGCCTTATAAAATCTTTTACAACACATTTTATATTTATGCAGGATGAACTTAATAGCAATTTTTTTTTTTGCCACTTTGCTATTTATGTACATATATATAATATATAATGATGCTCAACTGATACAGCACAGAGATTACAATGCAACATTACACTTTCACCACCAGTGAGGGGAGAAACCCCTTTATACAATCCTCTGAAAAACTGGGCTAATAATTAAATTCCAAAGTACGGTATAGTTAACAAAATAGTAAATATTAAACAGTGAATACTCTACTTAATAAGGACCTCGCCTTTTCCCCCCAGATTGGTGGCAATCCACAAAAATATACTTTTTAATCTGGTGACCATACAATACATATGTACTTACATCAAAGGTGATAATATATTTGAAATGCTATATACACAAAGTGTTTGGCTCAACTTTTAATTTACATATAGGATAATAAGTGTTCATGGCTTTTTTTTTCCAAGGTTCTGCTTGCAAGATATTTTTGTGTTTTTTTTTTCCCCCCTCTTAAAATAAAACTAAACAATTAAAACAACAAGATAAAGCTATTCTTCCTTTAAAAAAAGAAAAAAAAAAAGTACAACATACAGCTTTGGCTTATAAATAATTCATAGCAGAATGTGTTCAAACGTAGTGAATATAATTTTATATATAATCATCAACTCATAAGGGTGTTTGCTTTCATATAAAATATACATGAACTAAAATCATTTCCTTTAATTTTTAAGATATGAATGTAAAAAGAAACTTCTGACATATTCCAATTATAACTTAATATATTAGTTTTATTTTGTTAATGCTCTATAGGCTAGTATTTTCTGAATATCTCATGCGTGTTTTCTACTCTCTCTCTTTTTTATTAGCTAAAGATCACTTCTTTTACCCAAGACATTTTTGCACGTGCAAAACAGTTATGTATGGGATTTTTTTTTTTTTTTTTTTTTTAAATATCAACAGCCCTTTCCCATGCACCCCTTTGCAATAGAGACCCATGCCAGGTTGGGTAATTAATATAAATGACATTTTATGTACAGTATTGCTTTCTTGGTTCCTGCTTTTCTACTGCTCTGTTCTACAAAGCATTTTTAAGTACTACAGTCACCGCACAGATAAATAAAACAAGTAGGGGCCTTCTAGGTTTCTGCAAGCTAGTGTGGGAGAATTACATATGGGTACACATTTCTTTGCAAAAACTGGTTATCTTATGAAACAAGTAGTCCAAGGAAGTGCCAGACTAGACCTGTGCCTACAGGATGCTTTGTTTGCCATGGGACATACATCTGCAGCTCTATGAGGAGTTTGTAGGTAAGTGCCTGATTCTGTGTCTCAACACACACCCACACATACACACACACTCACACCCACATACATATATATGTAAAGTGATATATATGTATGCATGTACATATAAATATACTTAACTCATGTCCTTATTGACCAATTTAGATATGTAGGGCAGTTCACTGCAGTAACAAATAATAAAGGTTGGTACTGGAAGCCTTAGGTAACCCATGCGTCCATCCGCATCCGCTTCACAGAAGGGCTTTCTCTGTCCTCAGTGTTTGGGGGTCGGCTCAGCACAAGCGGAGAATGGAAGTCGCCCCGCGGATCCTCCCGGTCACTGCCATCGTAGGAACTACTAGAACTGCTCAGACTGTCCACAGGAGACCGCCCCATTTCCTGCCTGGGCTGGGACTGGGGAGGCAGGGGTTGGGGCTGCTGTTGCGGTTGCTGCTGGAAGCCTGATGGGGTCATTCGATCCCGGGGAGGTGAAATTGGTTCTGACTTAATGTTGATGTTCTGGTTGGTATTAATGGATAAATTTGAACCCTGAGTTAACTGCCCTCCAGCACTGAAAGGAAAGAGAGAGATGTTAGATGGTTGTGAGTGGAACGTTATAGACACTGCCTGACTGACACGAGCCCAGTGTCTGAGGGGCTGGAAGGACCCCCGAAGGCTGGGTTTGGTGGTTTCCTTCAGTGCTTGGCACAGAAAGAAATCACCTTTCCCTAAGAGGAAGAAAACCATAGAGTTGAAACTTTTATTACTGGTTCTATGACTCTATAACTTTCATATAAATATACCTGAGCTAAAATCAGTTTAATTTTTAAGGTATGAATGTAAAAAGATTCTGTACCTGGACCAAAAAGGTAGTAAAAGAGCGAAATGGCAACCTGGATTCTGGTTTCTACTGTCTCTTTTTCCTTGGCATTTTCTTAGGTCTGGACACTGCCCAGGCCCAGCATTTCATCTATCCTTACAACAAATCTAAGGAGGCAGTCAGTTGTTGTAAGGGACAGTCTCGGGAAGGCTAAGTAACTTGCTCCCAATGGCGAAGCACCCAGTGTACAGGCCAGTCTCCTGGACACTTGGCTTGAAGCCAAGTTATTTCCACTTACGTTTCCAAGGCTGACTGTAGTGTGTTCACTTATGATGTTCAGTATGGGCCTAAGGAACTAAGACCTTTTCCTGACTTAATTCCCAGGAAGACTCTGAGAACTACTCTAAGAAAAACTGAGAGGGAACTGGTTTGCTGAGTAAAGGCTCTCTGGGGACTTGCAGTGTTGGAAGTTGGGGTGCTCCTAGTACCCTGAGCACAGTAGAGGCAGCTGGGTTTTGCTCCACTGGCCCTTCTCCACCACCTGCTACCTGGGTCTGCACTATCTCTCCTCTTTTCTACCAGGGAGAATTTTATGTCTGGTCTCACCTGAATACCACTGCAATCTTTTTTGCTGACACCCCCCCACACCCTGCTCACAGGTATGTTCTCTGAGTCCTTGCTGAGGTACGGTGTGTGTAATTGGAGAGGTCAGTCACGTGACACTTCAGTAGCTTGATTCACACATAAGGCACTTCCCACTTTTCCCCTCCCATAATTCAGGGAGCAAGCAAAACGCAGAGCTCATTTTCCTATTCTTGTCCACATATAAGCAAGCTTCAAAAGTTTGTGCAAAAATGAAAATTCAAAGATATGTGATTCTGGTTCACAAACTTTTTGCAGTCCCTTTGAATATTCACCAAGTGACAATTGGGAAGGGTGGTGGGTGGGCATGCATATGTTCAAGTTGGCTGTCTTCACACAGTGGAGTCACAGACAGGCACTGGAAGGCAGAGGTGGGAGTAGCTGGATTGCTAATTACTGATCAGTACATACAAGATGGGGTGTCTATGGAGGCATCTGTGCCTTAGTACCCGAGAGTGCTAAGTGGGTCTCTCTGCCTCAGTGTGCTCACATAGGAAATGCTACCTGAGGCCCTTCAAGGAAAATCTAGTTTGTCCAGGATCCAGGATATTATCTAGTGTGGTGTAAAGAAAATATTTTCTCCAAACATGTGTTCAACTATAAAAGAACCAGTGCAGGGCTGTTGTTGTTGTAAAGTGCCATTAAGTTGGTTCTTTACCCATACTGACTCTGTATAGGCTTTGTAAGAAGTGGCTGGTAAGCAGGAAGCAGTGACTTTGCAGTTTAACACAACTGTGCAGTCCAGTGCGTTAGCGCACAGCACCACACCGTGACTACTGACATAAAAGTCAACAGGGCAAAGGACTGGCTGTTCAGAAAAGAGAGTCACGATCTAGGGAAATGCCTAATTACTCACACAAGGGAGTTGAGGGCTGCTTGTCCTAAATGGTGCTGTTGCCAGGCAGACACCTGTCCCAAAGACAGCATTCCTGGGGAGTTGAAACCCTGAAGGGCCGAGAGATCCGCACTTGTCAGGGAATAATCTAAAAAAAGGAAGAAAATATTATTTTTGTGTATAATGATGAAAGGAACTCATGTTATTCTACAAAAGACTATACAAACAGGAACTTTAGCAGTTTCTCAGTTCAAAGAAGCCAAGTACTTTATAACACAAAACAACACACTTCGAGGTCTAAATCCCACAAAAATTTTTCTTTTTGTAGGCTTAGAGGATCTAGCTACATTTAGTTGTCTGAGATTATTTAAATATCATAAACTCAGGTTGGTGGACATGATTATAGTTTATTACATCACAAAAGCTGAGTGTGTTTCTGTACCACGGTCATTTTGAATAAATATGCCCACCACTTCCTTGTCAGCAAAGAGAAATTCTTCAGTTCACTCAGACTGAACCTAGATCCTGAAGTACAGGGAGAACCACAAAGGCACAGCATCTATTCTCATGCAGCACCAAGCTCAGAGACATCAACATGAAATACAGTTTTTACACAAGTTAACTGCAATTGTTTAAATGACTGGCACTCTCACAGTTCCTTGATTGACAGTAAAATAGTTTCAAGTTCATTAAAGACTTCTTCCATCTCTTTATGGAGTCCTGGTGGAGTGGTTCAGAGCTCTGAGTCACTCCGGGAAACCCTTTTCAGGATAACCAGGAGTCGGAACCTACTTCACAGCTCATTTTGTACATGAACGTTTCAGTCATCATCACTGACCAAGACTTAGGATATTAGTTCTCACTCACGTGCAGAGTTCTTTTCAGTTCATTATTAACACTTGGCTTTTCTATTTAGCTCTAAAGAGAGGTGGCAAAAACTTTTCTACGTTTAACTTTTTCTCTTGTCTCAAGATAGGTGTTTGCAGAAGTTGATCTGCGGAGTGAATTGGTGTTTTTAAGAAATAAATTGAGTTGAAAGAGCAAAGCTGGTGCTCAGGATTCTATCCTGACTCAATTCTTTCCTCCTGCTGTTAAGTGCTGTGGAGCCGGTTGCACAACAGAATGAAACACTGCCTCGTCCTGGAGGCTGGAGACACTGCACTGGTGCTCCCTGTAGTGACCCCCACAGCTCCCATGGGATTTCTAGACCCTTACATCCATCTGCCTACTTGGACATCTCTTCAAACACCTGAAATCTGACATGCTCCAAACTGGACTCATCTTTCCCTGTAACCCTATTCGTCCATAAACAGTTCCTACCTCAGTAGATGACATCAACGATCACCCAGCTGCTCATGCCCGAAACTTGTGGGTATTATCCTGACACATCTCTCCTACTCCCACCAGCAACCAGCACATCTGGTCAATTCTTCCAACTGTCTCGCAGGTCTGCCACATGTCACCATCTCTACAGTGCACCTATCGGCTACCCACTGCTTGGAACACTACAGTAACCTGTACTGTGGCCTTCCTGTCCCTATGCATACTGCAGTCAAAGTGGTATTTTCAAAATGACAAAGATATCATGATACTCCTTTGCTTAAATCCTTTTATGGCCTTCTAATGCTCTCAAGATAAAAGTCCCAAATCCTTAAAGTGAGTTATAAATCCCTGTTCACATCTCTAGTCTCAACTTTAACCACCTTCACCTGCTTCTGTATCTCCGGCCACATGGCTTCTCCTAACGATAGTCATGTTCCTTCTGACTTCTAGCCTGTGCACACGGCATGCCCTCCTACCAGGAGTACTCTAGCTACTTCGCCTACCTAAGTCATGCACATCTGTTTAGGTATAAGCTCTAATGTAAGCATCAGTAAAATACATTACTCCTAAACCATTGCTCTTATGCCTCTCTTCAGTAAGCGACCCTAAGTGTCGTCCTTATGTGTTTCCAGCCTGGCATGGTACCTGCCACGGAGATGTTCTGTAAGTATTTGCTTACGAATGCCTGGAAATACTTCTGAAGCTGGGTGTGGTCTGACAGATAGCAGTAGAATATACATATACAATTCCTTATCAAATAACTGTTTTAACTTTTTAAGACATTGCTCATTTATTCATTCTTTAATCGACAATTGGGTTATGTGTCTGACACTGAATATATACAGGAAAGTAGGTCTAAAGAAGAAAGAAAGACTTTCTACAAGTGTTGCAAAAATACAAACAGATAAACACGTAAAAATGTGGTACAATCATACAGAAGAGATGCTATGGGGAGAGCAAATAAACCAGTCAAAATAAGAAATGGAACCAAAGCTAAAAAACTGAGGTTTTGAGTGAACCCGACTCCAGTTTTCTATGTTTTAGTTAATCTTCTGAATTTGTAAAAGAAAAAAAAAAAATTCTTTCTAGTCCAACAATGTTTTTAAAGGCAAATATCAGCATTTATGAGTATTGAAAAACTTGTAATGAACTGCTCAGTAAGTTGTAATCTAACTTCAATATTCAGTTCATGATATAGCTTCTTTAAGAAAGAAGACGGAAAAAAAGAGCAATCTGATACAATTTCATGAACTTGACCTACACCTATGGATGCAGTAGCTCAAAAGAGGGAACAAATCTTTACAGCAAGAATCATTCCCACCCCTTCAATACACAGAGTAGACAGGGATGGGCAACTTGGACATTTGCTACCCGATATGGGCGGGGAGGGCAAGAAGTGACTGGCTTACAAGTTTTAGAGGGAGCCTAGATCCAGAGGGTGAGGAGGAAAGTAACACAACATCTCCACTGAGTAAATATCCAATCTGTCTGGGAGGGGCTGATGAAAGGAGATGGGGATGGCACTCATGTGGCACAATAGTGAATAATTGCTATCGGGACTGACCTTGAGGGTTGGAAATGTAAAGGTAGATGTTTTGTAGCAAAAGGAGGGGAGTGATTAACTTTGCAGTCCAGGAACAGAGGTCCCTGGAACCATCAAGGGAGAAGAGCGGAGTGCGAGACCCTACCCAGAGAAACAGTGACGCCAGAGATGAAGGCAGAAATGAAGAGGTGGAAAGAAAAAGCGGCTGGGGACTCTAGACCCAGAGAGGGAAAGGGGCTGTGTGCTGACGACTGGTGTGTGCTTGTGTGTATGTGTAGCAGGTTTGCTGGGTATACCTTTTGGTTGGGTCATGATGCACGGAGGGGATTGTAACCACGGCAATGAAATGATATGCAACAGTATGAATGTAAAGCTAAGGTTCTCCCATGTAAGCCATCACATAATTCACAATAAAACATTTAAGAAAGAGAAATCTTCTCAGCCAGTACTCCTCTGAATATTCAAGCCTTCGGATATTTCTCTGTCCCTACCTTCTCAGGTCCTAAGAGTACAAATAGATAACTCCAACTACACAACTCAGAACTTCCTTTCCAGCCAGCATTATCAACTTAGGTGCATCCTGTCTCTTTAGGTAGAAAAAATTCCAAGAAAAGATACATTCCCAGAGTCGTCTTTCACATATAGCAGGTAATCAATACATTGAAATAGATTTTCCTGTGAATTCAAAATCCCTGACTTTATCCCAGAACTGTGCTCTTTGTAAGACAACTGCTGTTGTTAGGTGCTGTTGAGATGGTACCGACCCATGGCGACCCTATGTACAACAGAACGAAACACTGACTGGTCCTGGGCCAACCTCACAATCGTTGCCACATTTGAGCCCATTGCTGCTGCCATTTTGCCAGTCCATCTTGTTGGAGGTCTTCCTCTTTTTCTCTGACCCTCCACCTTACCAAACATGATATCCTTTCCAGCAACTGGTCCCTCCTGACAATATGTC